TATATTCAATAACTTGAATTGCTTCGGAAGGGTAGCGGCGGATAAATCACTCGTCGTGTTTAGTCAGTGATAGTAGGTGGTTGAATCGAAATGAGCCGTCGCGAATCGACAAAACATAATTTTCAATAATTACACAATTGTACCCAATTTCAGACAGATCATATTGGGTATCTATAGCAGACATGGACAAAGTGTGCTCAATGGGCTCATCTAGCTCCCGACCCCAATTAGGTCAATGACTATAAGAGAATGGGTCCTATTGTATTGTGCAAGTAATTCGAGGGGCACGACCACGATGCTTGAACAATTACGTATCGTTATGTCAGTTAACGCGTAAAAATTTTAATTTTTGAATGAAGCATATGAATATGTTTCTTGCTGTATTTTGCATTGATAAAAAATATCAATCAATCATTTTTTTCTATATCGACTTCCGCATAAAATTGCTGTTTGAAGAGGAATGTGGGGATTGGGAGGTCGGGCATCGGAAAATGAGAAGTCTGCGTCGTGAATATAGTTAATGTCGTTGAAGGCGGAATTGTAAAACACTTCGCGTTTAATAGTCACTTGTCGAAAATATACAGATCTTTACAGGTTTTTGTTGATTGTAAAAATGGTTGATTGACAAGGTTCTGACGCAGTAAACAATAAATATAGTGGTTGAATTGGTGACTTGATAAGTAAGTCGTTGAATTGTTGAGTGTCGGTGTGTGTCGCGTTGATGTACAAAAGGGCGACAATGAATCCGCGCGTTTCGCTAGATTTAGTAAACATAGGCGTGATCGATAATTAAATGCTATAATCGTTGACAAACCCAATAATGAACATAACTGGTTGATATTATTATGTTGAGTTGAAAGCGTTGATTTGAGCGTTGGTTGAGTTACGATAAGATAGTCAAGGCAAATTAAGTCTAATATATGTGTTGTTTAGATCAAAACGCTTTTTATATAGAAATATGTGTTTTGGTCGTGCGATTAACGGGCAAGTAATTTTCAGTGATTTAAGTTTGTGCATTCCGAGAAAAAATTAAAAACTACGAAAAACTGTTCGATAGGAGAAAAAAATTAATGAACAATGGAATAAATTTCATTTCTCAATTTCAAGTAACGGTAGAAAACATTAAAAAATCTGAGTCATGATATTTTCATAACATCATAATTTAATTCAAAAAATTATTATGAAATAGGAAGGGTAACTTCTAATGCAATCCATGAAAATTTTTTTTTCCCCCCATAATTTTTATTCTTGAATATGGAACAAAGTTTATCTAAAACATTTGCATCCATCCTTTATATTTTAGAAGGTAGACGCGATTTTCCGATTCCACCCCTCAATATATCTCTGCGCTGAGAACCTCTACTCCGAGAGCCCACTATATCTATATATATCGCAAGATCCTACTATCCTAAATCCTATATATCCTATCCTATCTGATAAAAAAAAGCAGAGCACTCTTATGGCGCCCACCACAAGTGTCATGGCACAATGCTCATGGGGCACTGTGCATTTATTCAGGATGAATCCACACGAGCAGTGGTCGCAATACGTTTCCATGAGAATTGACATGGAGAATTGCACCGACGGCGCCGCCGCGGCGGCGCTAGTCCCATTAGAAAAGATTCACCCGCGAAAACTGTCATGGCGTAGTCCCATTGATCACGTGGTCATGGTTTATGCCCATCGCCATGTTGAATATGGCGGCACACATTATCCGGTGAGTTTTGGGCAATGCATGGCGGACTCACACAAGCGACTAAATTCATACGGAGTATATTTTCATTTTTTGAGTTTATTTTATTTTCCATTAAACCTTTTCATTAATCTCAAAAAATTTCCTTACGCAGATAGAATAGATATACCTATTTTTAAATGATTGGAATTTAATTTTTTTTCATTAAAACTTTTCATTAATCTCGAAAAATTTCCGTACGCAGATAGAATAGATATACATGTTTTCAAATGATTGGAATTCAATTTTATGTCAAGAACAATGTAATTAAAGATCTTTTTCTTTCCTTAGCTAAGGTCAATTGCAATATTCGAATATTTCTGTTTTATTTTATTCAATAAAGACAAACAAAGATAAAAACGGATATGATTTAATGAGTAACCAATAAATAATGAATAACCTAATTTATTTTTGTTTTTTTTTTTTTAATTATTTTCATAGAAAACCACAGAGGGATCCTATATAATAAAAAGAACGGTCCACTCATCGAACATGGCGGATCTCATGGGGATAATCGATTATTTTTCATTCGATTCTATAATCGAATGGGACCCCTGATCTGACATGTGATGAGAATGTCATCAAGAATGTCATGAGAATGCAAGCGGCCGCGGCGGCGCTAGTATCTATATATATCGCAAGACCGCACTATATCTATGGATATGGCATAAGTTGCCAGCTGCTGTGACGTCACATTTTCGCTATATAAAGCGTTTTGGATCTAAAGAACACATATGCTAAACCTAATTTGCCTGAATTAAAGACGGTGGAAAACGAACTTATTCAGATGATAGTCGGAATGTAACTGAAATTGGGGGGGGGGGGGGGGGTTCAAGACCATTGTCTTGACCGTTGCCCCCTAACTCGACAACCCGGAAACGTCCGAAAATTAGCGAGGCTAATTCGTCGATTGTTGAAGCGCAACTTTAAACAACTGCGCTGAATGAATCACTCGAAATTGAATATTTTGACAGCAGCTGAATTAAAGAACACTGGTGAAAAGATTTTTCAATTTTTGTTAATATTGTTAGAACATTTCCTAAGCAGTACTTAAAAAATTTTAAAGATTTTTGACCTCGAGAAAGCATAAGGAAAAAACAAGAATTATTAGTTCTATCATTTCATGTCTTGTTGACTGTTTTTCATTATGTCGATTCCATGATTAAACATTTGAAAATTCATCGATTTTCAGTTAACCCCGAATATCAACAATTGCTGCAAAAAAAACATAGAGATAATTAGCTACAGAGAGTGACCGAGCAAAGGTAATTGAAAAATGTTCGCAGAGTAGAAAATGTGTGATCTAGCCAAGAGTGGGCAAAACTTATAAAATAAAGCTCACATTCATAATTTATTTATTGAATCATAAAGAACTGACATCTCATATTTTTTTCAATTGTTAATAAAATAATTATTCACTATGAAGGTAACAAAGAAATGATCAATTTCTGGCACCATGATGGTTGAACAATTACCCCCGATACAACTAAGGATTTTTCATGGTGAATTGGTGACAATTTGTTCGAATTTTTAGGCGGTAAAGTTTTTTATATTTGAAAAGAAAGCGCGCGGGGGTCTCTCTGTTTAACTGCATCCCACTTTGTGCACGCTGCTACTAGCACCCTAACTATGCCGGGCTTCTCGACATTGGTGTATTGTATTTCTAATAGTGCGTCTGCTAGGGCTTTATGGTCCCGGCTCCTGAAGGTCCGACTTTGTTCATGCCTGATCTATAGTATCTGTTATTAGATTCTATACAACTTGCAACATCGCTGTCCTTAAATTAGCTTTATTTGGTATTGTAAGAAGGACATAACTAATTGAAAAACAGGCTTCAGTTGTACTATATATATGAGGGACCCCATGCTAACTCAGTCATTAGGATTTTTTGTCTCCATAAGACTTGTCGATAGGCCCGAGAGGCCCTTCCGGACAGTCCGCAGTTATCCTCATGTTATCGGGTATTTCTTCTCGGGTGATGTTAGAACTTGCCTGCAATCCTGCCGGAATCCTTGAAGATCTGGAACTTTAAAAGACTGGTTTGAAGGTGGATATGTTCCCAGTCACCTTACGACCATCCACGCTCTCGATTACCAGTTACCATATTCCTCGCAAGCTAGCGTTCCTGACTACTGAAGATGATAGCGTATGACGAGTTAAATAGTTATTTCTTTTTCTCTCCTTTCTTTCATCCCTGAATTGATCGGAGCAATAACATTAAAAATTTGGATAAATGTCTATTACTCCCCCCCACCCCCCGGAACTTGATGCTGGACACGGGGACACGATGCCATTCTGCCCTCGCATGAGATGATGCTTGAATATAATTTTCATGTTACACGGTCTGTGATCCTATACGTTGAATTTCTTGGGGGGGG